CCTCGCTCACATCAAGCGCTTCGTCCTCAACATGGACGATCAGCGCGTCAGCTTCTTTCCGAATCTCTTCGGAGAAATCTTTGGCCACATGGCCCGGAGAGGGAGGGGGCGTTCTCAGTTCAATCAACCCCTTAGCTGGGACTTCAGGAGGTGGCACTACTAGAAAACAGGCCATTTCCGACGGAAAAATTCCATCGGAAAACACTATTCCAACGGAATTTCCGTCGCAACGTGTTGTCGGAAGACCCTTTGTAGGAAAAACGGCCATTTCCGTCGGAACAGTGTTTTCCGACGGATTATATCTTGTCGAACCCTAGTTTGACTAAAATCGTAAGTCCGTCGCAAGCTTACGACATAAACTTTTCCGTAGGAAGAAGATAATCTTCCGACGGAATATTCCGTAGGAAGAAGAGAAGCTTTCGACAGAATATTCTGTAGGAAGCTAAACTCCTTCCGACGGAATATTCCGTCGAAGGTGTTAATTCCGACGGAATTTCCCGTAGGAGGTGGTACATTCCGATGGAAAATTCCGTCGGAAAAGCCAATAAAAAAAATATTAAAAAAAGCCCACACCAGCCCCACCCAGACCCACCCCCGCCACCAACCCACCCCTCAGACCCGGACCACCACCCACCCCACAGAACCGGACCACCACCCACCACCCACCCACCCCACACAGATCCCCGTAGCCCCCCATACACAGCAAACCACCACCCACCCACCCTACACAGACCCCCAAACACCCACCACCCCACAAACCCCCTCATACACAGCAAACCACCACCCACCACCCACCCACCCCACACAGACCCCCCATACACCCACCCTCCCCACACAGACCCCCCCATATACCCACCACGCACCCAGACCACCCCCACCCACCACCACACACCTAGATCACCCCCACAACCAACCCGACCCACCACCATGCCCACCCAGACCACCCCACCCCCACCCACCACCACCCCTACACCCAACCAGACCCTAACCCAGATTTTAAAAAAAAAACTGAAAAAAATCATTAAAAAAATGAGAGGAGGAGAGGAAAATTGAGTTCGTCGAATTGAAAAAATCTAATGTACAGAAAAATTGAATATATACAAATAAAAAAAATCAGATCTAACCCACAAATTGAAGAACAAAATCCGAAAAAAAAAATATAATAACAAAAACATATACAAATCTAAAATCAAAATCTGAAAAAAAAAAACCAAAAAAGTTACAAAAATAGTTCTCCAAATTCCGATGAAACCCCGAATGCTATTTTGTTCTTCAAAGTTCATCAAAAAGTTCTTCAAGCTCTTCAAAAATCGTACGGTGAGCTTGAGTTGTTGGTGGTGGTGACGGTGTTGGTGGTTTTGGGTGAGAAGAAAAATGAGAGGACGAGGAGGGAGGAGTTGTTGGTGGTGTCGGTTATGGTAGTTGTTTGGGTGAGAAGGAGAGGACAGAGAAGAGACAAGGGAGGTAGAAGGACAGAGAAGAGACGAGGAAGGAGAAGAGGAAAACAGGGGGACAGAGGAAAGAGGACAGAGGAAGGAGAAGAGAATAAGAGAGGAGAGACAAAGAGAAGGAGAAAAGGGAAAGAAAGAGGCGGTGGGTCTGATTAAGGTTTCCCGTTTTTTTTTATATATATATATATTAGAAAGTTCCGACGGATAAAAAATCCGTCGGAATATTTGGGTTTTCTGAGGGAATATTCCGTAGGAAAATTCCGACGGATTTAAATTCCGTAGGAAAACTAACTTTCCGACGGAATATTCCGTCGGAAGCCTATTATTCCGAGGGAATTAATTTCCGTCGCAAGAGTTCCGACGGATTTTCCGTCGTAACGAAACTTTTTCGACGGAATGTTCCGACAGTCCCTAATTCCGTCGGAAAGTTCGGATTTTCCGACGGAATTTAGGTCCGTCGGAACGATTCCCTCGGAAAACGACCTATTTCTAGTAGTGTGGAGAAGTGGTCTCCTTAGGCTCCTCTTGCTGAACCTCCTCGAGCCGAGGCCTTTTTTTAGGAAGAGTTGGGGCCCTGAACTGCTCAGGTCGGACAAGTTGTCTCTTCCTCCTTTCACCCACCATTCCTTCGTCTGAAGAATATTCAGGGACAGGAAATGCCTGGGTTGGGTCTACTTGTTTCTCCTCTTCTTCGTCAGACTGCAGCAGAATAGAAAAAGGAGGGCAAGGACCAGTATAAACATCAAAAGGTACAAGCAAAAAAAAAATATATATAAATTCAAGCCGAAGCTTAGTACTTAGACAATTTTCACAAGTTGAAAAGTTTAAAGTAGAAGGAGCAAGGCAGACGAAGTTCTATACTTAGACAATTTTCACAAGTTGAAACGTTTAAGTAAAAAAAGCAAAGTAGACGAAGTTTTATACTTAAGCAAAGTCGCCAACAGACGTTCGTCTTTGGAGTCCTCTTCTTCTTCGGCTACTTCTCTGCGATCCCCTCGGTTCAGCAGCTGGGGTAGAAGGCTCTGCTTCGTTCTGAGGGACCGCAACAACAGTAGTAGCAGTGGCAACTTCTTCAGCTGAATGAAGAAAAAAGGGATCAACCTTCCTGTACCAAGGCTTCTGCCTTTGGTACTCAAGGACGCTGACAACTTGAAGTTTTCTCGGATGTAGGGAAAGGGGTCGATCCTTGGATTCGGTGATCTTCGGCGTGTTAGTGAGAGGAACCCTTTCCTCGCTAATCCCAAGCACTTCGTAGTTAATTCTTGAGTTCCCTTCGTACAGCTCTGGAAAATCAAAGAAAATAAGGATGAGTTCAGCTGAAAGAGTTAAGTTCACAAATCAGTGAGCAATAAAAAATTAAAAAGACTTCGGCCCCATCCGAATCCCTTACCGCCTTGGTATCTTCGGCTGAGGCCGACAACAACGAGCATCTTCTCTTGGAAGATGTAATGGCAACAAGGCAACCAGGTACTCGGCACATTCGCCATTCGGCCAGTAGCCCTAGTCATTTTGTTTCGGCCAAACAGCTCCATTTGGCGATGATCAATATCGGTGAACTCATTAGGGCCGATGCTTGACATTTTGGGATTTGGTTTCCTTAGATATCAGGGAGCGCCGAAATAGTTCGGGTGAGCTTCATCTGAGGGTGCTCGGATCCAAATCCATTTCCCCCTCCAATCCTTATCCGAAGTGTCATTCGGATAAGACGAAAGAAATCCCTTCTCATCCTCTATCTGCCACCACCCAGGGCCATGCCACTTATTAGATTTGGTGTTCGGCATGAGTTTGTGAATGCAGCAAAAACAGTGAATGCTCGGCTCAAACCCATAAAATAGACAAACCCAAAGATAGGTCATAATCCTTCAGACATTCACTGGGTCAGCTGGGACAAGGATATGTTGTATTCGTTCAGCAATTTTATGACGAAAGAGTAAACGGGAAACCGAAGCCCGTATTGTAGGTGCCGAGTGTAAACCCTGATATACCCAGGCGGGGGTCGGTGAATCCTCTCATTGGCACTGGGCATTCGGCACCAATAACCATCCTCTTCCATGATGCCGTAATAGATCTCTAGTTGTTCGGCAAAATGGTACTGGGCATTATTCTCAATCCACCAAGAGTAGGGCGCAGCATTCATATCCAACAATCCGAGGCTTTTAGGTGAAATTCGTCATAAGATTGCTGGGTTGTTTGTGCGAATATGAGTAAGTTGAGCAAGGATTAAGGTGTGAGTGGCTTAAATATCTTCTGGAAACAAGTTTTTCGAGGTTCACGCCACTAATAACCCCATTAATCCCACTTTACTCAATAACTGTTCGTATTCTCCTCCAATTAATGGCCCACTAATCTACTCCACTTCCCCATTACTTCCAATTATTCTCAAGTTAGCGGTTATTAGTATTAGTAACCTCTCAACTTCTCCTAATTAAAGTTGTCATCATTTGCTTCCCTCCAATTTTGCAAGTCGATCAAAACCCGATTCGTTATTCTTCCAAATCGGGTCTGGGGGGCAAGTTGTTTGGGTCCAATTTATCTTCAATTGGGCCTAGTCCACAAATGATACAATCCAAAGCCCAAAAGCAATGTTTAACTCTCCGGCCCAATGTCAAAATCAGTTAAAGGTTCGGTCCAAGTGGCAAGCCCACTTGACCCCAAGGGCCCAAGCCCCTCATTTAAGCAAAGGTATAAAAGCTAGCCTTTTCTTCACTTCACAGATCATCCACAATCAGCCTCAAGCATAAAATCTCTTGCATAGCATATTCTCTCTCTTTTAAACACCGTATTGACTTCGGCATCGGAGGGGCCTTCCTCGACACAACCCCCGAGGCCAGTTTAGGTGTTCTTTGTTGTGTAGGAAATCCTCGGCTCCAGCATTCTTTGGACCGAGACCAGTCTTCTCCACCTCGAAAGAGCTTGCCGAAGGCCCCATTGTTTTTATCCAAAACAGAAGATATCCCCATTTTTTAATAAGCATTTTTTTTCTCTTTATCTTGCATATAATTAAAGTTACTTGTAGAAGATATTCCCATTTTTTAAGTGTTGCACCCCGGCCCCTTGAAAATTTGAAACGAGTGCATTCATGTACTTCACATCTCCTACGGTCATTGCCAAAGTTACGCTCCGAGTGAGCCTAAAATAGGCCATGGACTTGGATCTACCAAATAAAAAAAAAATGCCTTTGAGATTCAATCATAAAGCACTTTGCCTCAATCGTATGTAAACCACCCCTTCACCCACAACCCCCCCCCCCTAATGTGGTAAAGAGGGGGCTCTTTGGGGTCTCATTTGACAAGATAAAGATATAGGAAGGGGTGATTCTTTCGTTACATTGATAGGAGTCTAACTAGAAAAAATCTTTCTTTTACTTTGAGAATAAAATTGTTGGCGAACTATGTGGGAAAAAAAAAATGGACCTTCTTTCTTTGATTTTCAACAAGCAAGTATATAAATACCAGTACATAAAATAAACAATAAATAAAAAATTTAAGCACATAAAAGTGAGCATTTACATGTAGTAATATTTTTGATTTTTTTTTTTATTAAGGTATATATAATATTTGCATGACACAATATTTGTGTAAAATTTTTCTTTATATGTGTTAGACAAATTTTTAAAAAGGGAATTAAAGAAAAAATATAGAGAGAAAATACAAAAGCTTACATCCACATCAATCCAAAATGAGCAAAATGACATTACATGTTAAAACCTCAACACCAAACTCACAAAGGGTGCAAGAAAAATCAATAAACTCCCATTACAAGGCTACAATTAAATTTTCTTAAAATTGATGAATAAATTATACCTCTATATAACTAAAACTTTTTGTTCTTGCACCCCCTTTTTTTTTGGAAAAAAAAAAATGTCATATGCTTATTCTGGTATTACATTCAAACTGGTAAAAAAAATTGTACATTTTGTATAATTACTTAATTAGCTTTAACATCATAAAGATCCAACTCCTTGAGAACCTCAGGGCACTCTTTAAGGGGCTCCTTCCTCATGAAACCGAGAGCGTTAGCACTGCGAATATCCGAAGCTTCACCATTGTTAGATGTTAGGCTAACCTTAGCAGTTTGCTTGGCATAAACATCATGTGAAACCTCAGAGCATTCGCTGTTCGGGCTCTTAACCAACTCGATTTCACAGATATCGTCTTCGAAATCTCCATCAACAGGGATGCTGTACTGTCCTACCTTGTCTGTTACAGCTTCAGCCTTGAAAGTCTGAGTTCCTGCTGTAATGTTCCTGCATTCCAACTTCACAGTTGCCCCTGTTTTTACCAAAATTTCAAAATTTAGGCATCATATATTCATATTATTAGGATATAATTATATACTATAGTCGAGATAGATATCCACTTTTATAATTAAATCGTTGTTAAAAATTGACATAACAGAAATTTAAACAATACATGTGCAAGTTTATTTCCATTTGATCACGTAACATAAGAATAATTCTTACGTGACATTTATTTTGTTGTGACAATAGACTGTCTCATACTAAAATTTGCGATCATATATTGATTGATCAAAGTTAACGTACCTTCCATTATTGTACTAACGCGGGTCATAAATTGGATACGGCAAGTGTCACAGTACACCATGCCCTGGACTTTGAAATGGTTCTCAGCGGCATTGGCGACACCGGCCAAAGACAGGACGCAGAGAGCGCCAACCAAAAGAAATACAGCTTGACACTTCGCCATTTCGTGTACACTTATTATGGACAAAATTGATCTTCCTTGTATGATGAATTGTAAAATTCAAGGACGAAGCTTAAGGAAATAGGTGAGGATGATTTTTAGTTTATAAAGAAGGGAATTAGATGGCTTTTTTTAGATGATAAAGCTGGCTTATTGTGGAGAATGTAGTTTTTGGTCATTTTTACTAAATTTGGAAATATTGATGCATCTTTAATTTGAATGGTTATTTTGATGTCTTAGTTATCTTAAAACAAGGAGGTTCACAAAGAATTTTAATTTTATGTTTTTTGTCAAATCCAAATTTAGTAAAATTGAAGGTTACAAATTAACAGACTTTAATTTCAAAACTCCAGCCAATCAACACAAATTTTAAAAGTGTATGTATTTCTCTAGATCAATTTGGACGAATTATTGACTACCATATGGACCCTCTTTCATAAAATGCGTAAAACTCTATTGTTACAACCTGTTAAACCCGAATCATATGACATTGAACCAAAACCACACTTGTCAAACAATTAAGTTGTTTTATTGATTAATTACCAAATGACAAATCAACAAGAACTCAGCTCACATTAATGTTTTTCCTCATATAGGATATATTCAAATCATAAAGTACTACCCGTACAACAGACTATGGTTATAAGACTAATGTTTTCCGTATAGGAAATATTCAGGCCATAAAGTACTACCGTACTATATAGACTATGGTTCTAGGACTAATGTATTCCAAGGCTAAAAAATGCTACTTTTATAAAAAAAAAAAATATATATTGTTACATAAAAGCCTCAGCGGATGGATGCTGTCCTTATTAGCCCCCCTTTTGTATGTGATAAGCCATTCGATTACGTAAAGAATTTTCTGTAACGAATTTTTGTTGTTCAGCAAAATGGATACAGGATATATATGTCTCTAACTTGTGATGCAATTATACCGTATAAGTCCGTTATTACACTGTTTTGTTTACTGATACAATCGGCTTAAGATACCATTACACTCATAAGTCACTTTTAATATAAGAGATGTGGTTTATGACATACATTGTTATATACATTGCATGTTCCATAGAGTTACACTTTGAACAAAGTTAAATTACAGAGTAATTGCTTTTATTAAATTTGAACTTTAATAACTCCAAATTAATCCGATAGAATACTTTTAAGCCTTAAAACAATCGATTCATTCTAAACTTTTGGTTAATTGATGATAATACTAATCTTTAAATAAATACATTTGATAAAATCTTTAAGATATCATTCTAAATTTTCTTTCTCAAACTAAGCTATTGTACTACAAATGGAATGTTTCACTGTTCATTTCATTATATATTCTCAATCTATAATACGAAGTGAATGCTCCAAAGGTTTCTTTCATCGATCATTCTCGCTCTTCCATAGTGTAAAGTTATCCCTCAAAAGGTTCAGGATAACCTTGATGTCTTTCGAATAAGCCTTGCTGCCTAAATCATCCAGCTCTAACATAGCATCATCAAAAGCATTCTTCGCCAATTGATATGCCCTAAAGAAATAAAAATTTACGTACAAGTAAGTAACAATGCAATTATAACATACATGATCATAGAGAAATTGTAAGCTTATAAATGTACTATACAAGTACCTTTGGTAAGAATTTAAAACCTCGTAGTTGAAAACGGCAAAATTTAATGCCAAGCCTAGACGTGTTGGATGAATAGGTGAAAATTGAACTCCTGCTATGGCCATTGCTTCCTACAACAAAATTTAATTGCAATTAATCACTTGTAAAACGAAAAGAAAATCAAATGATATACAAAATAATTTTAACCACAAAGTTAATGACAAACACTTCTAACTTCGGCTAATCATTCTTCCAAAACTTCGTCTAATCACATAATTAGAAAACCACACATATAACTATATAAGTAGTCTAGTCATATTTCTAACAAAAATGCTACATAAGTAATAATATATTCATATTCTAAAAAAATGCAACATTGGTATCATCATATTCTATACTCGTATATAGACAAAATAGATAATTATTCTAAAATATAGGCAAGAATTTATATTAATGAAGAGTATAAATTTGGCACTTAAAAATATAGCAAAATTCATGAATTTATACACCAAAAAATGCAAGAAACAAAAATTGAGTAATACAAATACAAATATACAATAAAATCGAGCAAATATTTACCTTATATGTTTTCAACGATTCTTCAGCGACTAATGTTTTTTCATCACCAGTTTTGATTTCGGCCATATATCGGTAATAATCCGCTTTCCTGCATCATAATGCTCTTCGTTAATTAAACCAACCAACTCTTTACTTAAAGAATAATAATACACAAGTAATTAATTGCTAAAATAAACACTTAATTAAGTTCAAGAATATGCAAAATACTTTAAAATTATACTCACATCTTTAAGTAAAAGACGGAGGATTCAGTGCTAGACGCGAAAGGAAGGAGATGATCATCAATTAGAGTTATAACGTTGTAGCAAATGTTAGCAAGGTCCGACTCGACTATATTACGATAATCTTGAATACACTTTATGTACGTCTCGTCTTTGTATATTGTATCCTCTTCCTGCTCAGTTTTTGAGAGAAGTTTCCATGATTCTCTCTTTGGCTCGATCACTTTCTTGTATGCTGTTGAAAGGAGATTAAGCTCTTCGGCTGTTAAATCGATGTTAAACTTCACCAATTTCTTCATTGCATTGATCATATCTGCAAAAATTTAAGATATGAAATCATTAGTTATATTTTAACATATATATATATATATAGTTTCATTCTTAAAAACGCACAACTTAAGTTGTTTATTATAAATTTCCTTCAACAAAAATAATTTTTTAGTACGTAATAAAATTAGTATAAAATTTTAATTTAGTCGTGAAAACAAGATTCCACGCGATAATATTATTTTTCTTAATTTACACTTTGAAATCACAAAAAATAATCTAAGATTATGTAAGTAGTGTAATATTGGCATAACGTTGTGTTTTGAAAAGAACGTAGTAAAAAAGGAACTCAAATCCAAACTAAAATTGAAGCTTTAGTGAGTTGAAACTCCTACGTGAAAGAAAGTGATGAGGAAGAGCATACCATCATAGCGTTCAGCTTGGGCGGCTAGCTTAGCGAGGTAGATGATGTTGTAACGTTCGCTCGAAGAAGCCATGAGAGGAGAGATCAAGAGAAAGAGCTAGGCCGGTAGTACTCGTGAAGGCTTTGACAGGGTTTGAAAATAAATTTTGAGGTAAAGTGTACGAGGAAGAATTGAAAAGTGAAAGAAAAGGCACGGTAATATTGATATTTTTAGCTTTTTTTTCCATTAAAAAAAAAATCTTAATTATTTTATTTATCATAGGAAAGTACGAGTATAGCTTATGTCTAGATGACTTAGGAGATGTGTTACTTGTAGGATACGTAGTGACCGTAGTCTTGTAGTTTTTACGGAGTAAAATAATCCTAAATATCTAGGAGTATTTTTATTTTAGAAAACATGCTACTTCAACTGTTCAATGTAATATACGATTTTAGTTTTTCATTTGAAATTAGTTGAAGTATACTCCTATTACTTTTTGGAAATTTTCCATTTAATTAACATGTGTTTAATTATGGTAAATTATAGAGCATGTTTAGTACAATATTTTTAACAGGTGTAAGTGAAATTAATTAACCGTTTTTATTATCAAACTATTACCAATACTTAATGGCCATGTACTCATTATCACCAATTAGTTACTCCCTCTGGTTTTTTTTTTTTATTTTTTTTTTATATATATAATGCATCACTTCCTTTTTATAGATTTTTTTTTCAAATGTATCACTTTCATATTTGGTAACTTTATACTACTCCCTCCCTATTTTATTGCCTATTCCATTTTTCCATGCGCTGAATTTTAGGAGGAATAGTAGGAAGTAATAAAATATGATGAAAGTGGGGTTGGTTGGTTGACAAAAAAAAAATCTAAAAAAAAAAGAAGCAAAAGTGAGTATAGTCGTATAGGTGAGGAGGAGAGAAAATATGAAAATTTTAAAATATGATATAAGGGGATCACTAGTTGGGAGGGAAATAGTAAAATATTGTTAAAAGTTTTCAAAAAAAGATATTGAGCAAATAATAAAATACGGCCACAATAGGAAAGTGGAGCAAGTAATAAAATACGCAGGCAGTATATTTTATCATTTATCTCTTACCTTAAATCCCACTTAAATCTATTCAAACCCCCCTCCCCCCCCCCCTCCCCAACTTAAATTATTTTATCATTTTTCTCACTTCTATGGTCCCCGCTAAAAAATATCTACTCTCACATAATTTCTCTTTCATGATCCCATCTTACTTTTACTATAATAAATTATTCATTCACTCACAATAATATACGAAGTATTACTCTCCTAAAACTCCGCGCCCTCACCAATTGATGCATTAAAAAAAAAAAAAAAAGGGCAACTCTTTTCAACACTATATATGGTAAGACGGATTCAATCCATGAATTAACATGGAGACTAGACCATATCTTGATCTCTAAAGCTTGTTTATAAATTGACCTAATTTTAAATAGAAAATTTAACAGGAATAATCTAACCTTTGCCCCATTCTCTCAAAAATAATCGAACCTTTCGATTAATCCTGAAAAATTCTAAGTTTGCTACTACCTCCGAATATAATTAGTTGCAACTTTGGGGGTGCACACGGACTTCAAGGCAAAATTTCTAAATGGTATTTAGTAAAATGTTATGCATGTGATTAAGTGGAGAGAGAACAAGGGGGACCGATTTAAGGGGGAAAAAAGGTGGGCAACTTTCTGATTTTTGGAGGGACTTGTTTTTCCTCCTAAAAAATCTGATGGTCTTTAAAATTTTCAAATTTTTTAACATTTTTGGAAATTTAAAGTTTCCTTCCAACAAAAGTACAGTATTACTAAAGGGGCATATAAATAAAGCCAACCTATTCATTATTTCCCTCCTTTTAAGTTCTAACATTGAGCCAAATATACAAGCCATGTTTCCAAAATATTACAGACCATTGTTTTCACTTCCTACTTAAAAAAATAAAAAATAAAAAATAAATAAAAAAAATAAAAACTTCTTTTCATTTCAGTTTCACTTGAATCCTCCATTACAACACAAGAAAAAAAGCCCTTTCATTTGCACCTGAAATTTGGGGGGGGGGACAGGAGAAAAAAAAAAAGACATAGAAGCAGAATTTGATGATGGATTTTTTAACATTGAACAACTACTAGATGAGGAATTAATGGAAGAATCAGCATAAAATGCAGAACTTGATGAGTTGATGAAACTGCATCATGACGAAAAGGTGAGAAAACGCAAACCTGAATTGACAATGGCAAAGAAAAGAGAGATTGTAGATGTAATGTTAACTCTCATGCATAATGGTTCATTACCAAGAGGTTCTTTGGCACGATTTGCAAGACACTATGGGGTTCACAATTCTACAAACAAGATTATTCAGGGAAATATACAAGTAAATGGTCGAAGGGACTATTATTGACATCAGGAGCAAGAAGTTAGGCAAGTGTGGTCCAAAAGCAAGACAGTACACAGAAGAATGGTTACAGTCAGTAACGTTATACCTCAGAACAACTGAGAGATCTTATGCATCCGCACTTGAAATTTCTTAGGGAAGCCTCCATCAATTGAAAAAAAAAGCATTCTCAGAACACATACAAGCACCAACAAGCCAAGGGTTTTATCACACATACTACTTGGTACAGCAACTACAACCCAACATTTGAAGAAATGAGCAACGTGATTCATATTGATGAAAAGTGGTTTTATTTAAACCTGGAAACCAAAAGATTCTACCTTTTGTCCAAGGAAGAAGACCCATATAGATGTCAACAACCTAGAAGGTTTAAGATAAAAGCAATGTTTATGGGAATGATTGGAAAGCCATTGTAGGATACACGAGGGAATTTGATTCATGATGGAAAATATGGGATATTTCCCTTTGTTGTTGAGCAAGTGGCTAAGAAGAAGAGCAAAAACAGGGAAGCTGGAACAATAGATAAAAAAAAAAGTAGTGGAGCACATAAACAGAGATGCAATTAGGGACATGTTGCTTAACAATGTCATACTAGCCTTAGTAAGCAAATGGTTAGCTAACATGCAAAAGGCCGGATATGGTTATCCAATAGGATAATGCTCGGCCACATCAAGTGCCCAGGCCAGAGATGATGATTTCATTGAAGCCACTACTCAAGGGGGGTTCAACATCATATTTGTTTTCCAACCAGCACAATCTCTTGATTTAAATGTGGTATATTTGGGTTTGTTTTGAGTTATTCAGTCTCTACAATATCAATCTTTTCCAAAAAAAACTTGGAAGAGATGATAGAGAAGGTGAGGGAAGCATTGATGAATTTCCACCACATGTGAACAAGTACCCATGGATAACATTGCAATCATGTATGGTGGAAATACTCAAAGTAGAGGGAAGGAACAAATATAAGATTCCACATATGGGTAAGGCAAAACTTCAAAGACTTGGGTTGTTACTAGATCAATTGGAGGTCAGTCAACACTGGATAAACATAGTCGTCAACTACCTCAACACCATTTTCATAGAAACAAATCAATAAGAGAGAAGGACCCATTTTGAAGTTGATGCAGATTAGAGATCAAAGGGCTACTAAAAAAAACAGTGGTTGCCACACATAATCAACATTTTGTGTTTATAATGGGATTGTAAGTGTTTATCCATTTTGGTCATGTGTTCTTTTCTACTTCCTCCGTTCTTTTTTACTTGACTCGTTTTGACTTTTACACTATTCATCATCCCTCCTTTGACCGTCTTTTGTGAATAATATGTAAAGAAAAACATATTCATGTAGTATCTTTTTGAATTCGTCTCAATAAGTACTATCATTATATATAACTGTTATAATTTTTACTTATGGGGAATTAAAGTTATTAATTGTTAAAATTTTGCATTGGCAAGCGTGATAAAAGCAACAGGTCAAGTAAAAAAGAACAGAGGAAGTATTTTGCAATTTTTTGTCTTAGGCAGTCATTGAAGCAGACATTTTAATTTGTTAAGGGACTCATATTGGTACTCATTTTACAATGGATTGAAGTATGTGTAACTTACTTTTATTTTGAAGTTTCCTTTGAATTTTTAGCACTTAGGAAGTCATGAAAGCACACATTTTGTAATGGGACTCATATTGGTACTGAATTTACAATGTAATGAAGTCTGTGCAGCTTACTTAGATTTCAATGTTACCTTACATTTTTAGCTAATTTCTATGTCAAAGTCTTTCTAGGTCACTTGTCACTTAACAACCACAAAGTAACTAAAAAATAAACCATCAGAGGGTTTTTTTTTTTTTTTTTTTTTTTTTTTTTGTCACAAAACATCATAAATTATGTTACCTCTACAACAAGTGTAAAACACTTTAGATGGAGCAAAATCAGAATTTGGATTGTTGAAATCAATTGAATCCCTTCAACATTTGGATAGGTAAGGGTATGACAATTACAACAAGGGACTCATTAAAACAAGGCCTCAAAACCAACCATGGGACTCAGTGCGGTACAAAATGACTGTAACCCAACCTGTTCTCTCAAATATTGTTATTGAGAACATCATTATGTGTTGCTCATATTCATCATTTATCAATAATAGTCCCTAAAATGCTATGAGTGATTAAGCACCAACATGCACCAGGTCATAGACAACAACCATCAGCCAACAATCATTGAAAAAAAGGCAATAGGGGAACCCCACTAGGCAATAGGCAACAAGCATTGAAAAATAGGCGACAGGGACTCATTACAATTATAACAACAATAAGCAACATCCAGGCAACAACAACTACAATAAGCAACAAGCATTGAAAAACAGGAAACAAGAACTCATTACATTTATAACAACATTAAGCAACATGTAGGCAACAACAACAATAATAAGCAACAGGAAACTATAAGAACTTGGGAACATTTTCAACCACAACAACCAACAACAACATCCACCTTGGCCTATTGCTGGGAACCATTGTCATTCAATAAACCTCCACCACACAACAATCTACAACAACATATAAAGCGAAAAACTAGGGATCAGAAAATGTTACCCAAACCACTTTAATCACTAGGAGTGAATTTAGGATGGTACTCCTTCAAAAAGAGTAGGAAGTTTGGATCAAACTCTGACTCATCAACAGGATGACCAGGTTTCACCCTCTTACTCCCACACTCAAGCTCCTCGTCGGGGAACCTAATAGGAATTTGCAGGAACTCAGCATACTCATCACCAGCAGCAGCTTGGGGGGGGGGGACTCAGGTTTCTCATTATCGTCCCAGATAGGACAGATCTTAGTGCCACCATGAATTCTTCTCATAGTAGTAGCAGAGACCTTAGGATTTCATTTCACAACCTTCTTAGGTCTGGGTTTTTTACGGGACTTAGATCTAGGCTGTTTGGATGACCTAGACCCAAATTGCACACCCAGGTCAGCAACGACACCCAACATCAGAATTAACCACGTTTCCCCACAGAACCGTGGTCTGATTTTTTGGCCGCTTCTTCATCTTCGATAGATCTAAGATCTTTACCGAAAGCGATGAAAGTTCGGTGGCTCAAAATATCACTACCCTTGTTGGAAATATAGAACTTTTAGGCCAAGATGCTCGTTGTTCAAAGGCTTCGATAAGCGAATCTATTAACCCCCTCTCAATTTCATCATCACCGGCAAACAAAGCTTCATGAAGTGGAGAAAGATCCATATTGAAGGGACTTAATGGGTTTTTTTAGGGATGAATTACCAGATTTGAAAGAGGAGAAAGATTGAGAGGAAGAAATCAAAGAGGAGAGGGAAGGAGAAAGCATTTAAGAGGAGAGAGAAAAAGATGAGGGAGGAAGATGAAAAGAATGTCCAAGAACTAGATAGGGTTTGAAAATCATTAGATCTGATGAATTAATGAAGATCTGATGAATTTAATTAAAGGAAATAGGTAGGTAGGAATATGATTTAATGAATTTAATTTTTGGTGGGAGTGGTTAGATTAATGAAATCAGATTAAGTTTTTAATGTAATGAATTAATTTATTTAAGTGAATGTTTAATTTTTTAAGTAAGGGCAATATTGACATTTTTAACAAAAAAATTTACTAAAAAGGGAAATATTTGGGAAAGTTGCAACTAAAACCAATCATCCAAAAAAAGTAAAAGTTGCAACTAATAATATTCAGAGGTAGTATTATTCTCTTTTAGCAAACCTATTTTACCAGTAACCGGTTGAATAAGTCAATATTAATTAATTTATTTTTTTTCTCCTATTCTTCCCTCCTTCCTTCGTTGTTCTAAGACCTCTAACTGACATCAATGGAAGATGAATTTATCATGAGAGCCCTAACCCACCATTAGAGATGTTAGTGGGGCAGGTCAAGTTAGGAGACCTGCCCCATCTCCGCCCCAATGAGGCGGAGATGGGTCTCGGTTTGGTGGGTAGTGGGGCGGGGATGGGGATAAAAACCATACCCGCCATGGGTGATGGGGTGGGGGTGGATTTTAGGTTGTACCCGCCCCATCCCCACCCCATACCCACATCTATATAATTTTAAAACAAAATTATATACTTTTATACTATTTTATAAAAAAAAATGTTAGATAGTAAATATAATACTTTGTAATACACTTACATTAAAACAAAAAGGTATGTAATATTGACATTGATTTTTTTATGTAGGATTGTGTATATGTGAAGCGGGGATTAGGCGGGTCTTGGGTGGGGATTAGGTGGAGGTGGATATCCAAGTGGGGGTAGGGCGGGGATGATTTTGGAATTTTACCAGCCAGAGCGGGGATGGGGATGAATTTTGGACCCGCCGCGGGGATGGGGATGAAAGTTTTAGGTAGGGATGGGGATGGGAAAGCCAACATCCGCCCCGACCCGCCCCATTGACATCCTTACCCACCATCCTTTAAACACCACCACCCCACAACTCCACTCGCCCACCTCCTACCGCCGCTCCCCCCACCCCTCCCCACCAACCACAAATGACCCACCATTCCTCCGTGCAGCCCCTGTAGCGGTGCAGCCCTACCATTCCCTCCTTTCCCCACCCCTAAAACCACCATTTCCTCCCACCATACCCCTACCTCCGAAACCATCACTCTCTCCCACCCCAACACCGAAACCACTACCCCTCCTTTTCACAAAACCATACATCCTATTCTTTCTCAATTCAATTTCTCTCTCCTCCTTGAAACAATTACCACTAGCCCATTGTCAACCTTGCCAGTTTGGGTTTTTAAATTTGTGGGTGATTTGGAGTGTGTGTCGTGGTGGTTTTGGTGAGATTTGTGGGATGTGGTCATTGGTGGCCTAGTACGGTGAGAGAGTGGTTTGCGGTGGTTTGTGGTGATGGTAGTTTGTGATTCATGGTGGTGGTGATATCATCTTGGTGTGAGTTATTGCATGTGGATGAGAAGGAGGTGAGGTGGTTATGGAGGAAGACCATGGATGTAGAGGAGAGAGAAAGAAGCAGAAAGGGGAAATGAGAGGAAGAGGAGGAATTGTTTTTTAATTTTAATTTTACTTTTCTAAATTAAAAAAATCAACCAATTAATTGACACGTGGATTGGTAACCAGTGATTATGGGTGGGATGACCGGCTAGGCCAGGGTTGCTATGAGAGAATAAGCAGTAAACTTAGGCTTATTCAGGGTTAATCGAAAGGTTGGCTTATTTTCGGAGAATGGGGCAAAGGTTGGATTATTCTTGTTAAATTTTCCATTTTAAATTACTACAACAAAGAATAAAAGAAAAGATTATAAGTATGGTTTTGATCTCGGAACCAATTAATGAATGGGCTCTAGAGCAAACGGAAGTATGGAACCAACTTAGCAAAAGTATTTTACATTTAGATTATTGCAACTTATATACTTATATATATAGTTTTCTAAATCATGGCCTGGCTTGCCACCCCTAAGCTAGATAGGTGCCTCCAACATCCTCAATTTGATACCAGCGATTTATTTTCTTAAGAAAGCCATACAATTAATAATGGTAACATTTAATATTGGTCTTTCCTCATCTTATTTGTTCCATTTTCTTTTCTAGTACTCCCTTCGTTCCTTTATTAGAAACCTATTTCTAATATTTATTACTTACATAATAAAGAGAAATAGGCTTCTAATTTAGGGATGAGGGAGTAGATCATAACAAATATGCACTCACAAAGTTTATTTCTTATTTTGTCTTATCTTTAACTTACTGGATCTAATACTTCTAAATAGTGGTTGAACAAATCATTTAAGACAACACTAAGATTGGAAAACACAATAATGACATAAAATCTAACAAAACCATAAAATTTTGACCATAAATTTTAACCACCACTCATCACCATTGTGCTCGAAACATATGTTCTTCGAATAATATAGAAGTATATTGAACCTGGCCTGTAGGAGCTATTCTTTCAAACCTTTATCCTAGCAAATCATTGACCAAGAATGGACCTAGATGAGTCCTTTTAACCCAAAAAAACATGTTCTAAATACTTTCACTAACTTCTTATCCATACGTATTATACCATAAAAAAAAAAAAAAAAAAAAAAGACATAGATTTGACCAGTGGAAAAGTTTAATTTTACAATTAAAGGTAGTGGAATCAAATTTTACTTGAAAGTTAAAAAAATTTGAGGTAAGAAGTCACTTACCTTTTCCTCATTCCCAAAGGACCTTACTCATTAACGAACCAAGTTGATCTATAAGAGGTTCCGATCTAATAAAGCCCTTAGCTTCTCCTTGCCTTCCCAAAATGTAGTGTTAATTAATTGGACATGGTCAACCTATGAATGAATGGAATTTATTATATACACCCGGGTGCACCGTACACCTACGGACTACGGTGCACTCAGGTGTATAATAACAATGTCTTGTGAATGAAAAGCCATTAACGACCCAACGAACCACAAATTATATATCTTGCCAAAAAAACCCAACTTCAACACCCCAAATCTATCCACCATTTTCTCTCCATTTATAACACCAAAAAACTCAACTCCTCTTCCTATGCACTTCCCCACCAAATCCACTTCTTTCGAGAGAGAGAAAACCCTGGAATTATCCATACATTATAGCTGCAAAATTAAACCCACCCATTATCTCCTAAAAAAAATTAAAAAAAAAAAAACCCACCCATTTTTTGGTCTTTCCATTTCATACCAATTTTTAAAAAGTATGGGCATTTCGTATTTTCAACGAAATCCTAATTTTCTAGGATATTTACTCTTAGATTTGTCTTAGGTAAATTCTTGATACATTAGAGATTCTGACATAATTACTTCCTAGATTTTTGGATTAATCAAATTAAAGTAACAAAAGGGTTCTTTCTCTCTCTAAGTTGAGAGCATCTCTCACTAAACGTGAGTTTTTCTTAGCTCAGCTAGGTTTCATTCTCCAAGTTTTGAGAATCTGCATGCATCAACATTTTCTTCCCTAAAATCTTTATCCAGTGGCTGTGAGTGGTACTTTATCATAGCTTATTTTAGGTAAAATAGGATCTTAATCTTTGTTGTCTTCTATCTGTGGATTATCAATACAGCTTTTTCGCCATTCAAGAAATTTTCTCGTTCATGCATAAACGCCTCGGCTTCCAGGAAAGGCTTACACCTTTCTCTAGCTCCAACCTACATTCAATTCTCTGAGCGCCTTCTTGTTGGGACATGCAACCAATATAATTACATCAGTTATTGCTCTCTTCAACTACTGGTCCAGTGATTCTATAGCTAGAGCCGGCTAGCTACAAGGTCGGATAATTAAATTTGCACCCGTTCTTGCTCCCCACGCTCATTCTACTACAACTTTCAAGAAAGTTTGGCTATAAATGTGAAGGAATTTTCAGGGTTTAAACTCAACTTATCTCCTCTTATTATTCTTCTTCTGCTAAACTCTTTAACTTCTCTTTACTTCTTCATTCTTCTTGCCGAATTCATGAATAATAATAACAACTCTCCTAACGCTCATAAGAGCATGATAATCTAGATCTGCGAGGGGGACCTCTTATCCCTCCTCCGCCAGACTTTGACTTGGATGATTGCACCATTAATTTCAACTCCTGTGTTATAGGGGTCTTTATTGGACCACATCCTCCTCCAGAGGAATTTGTGCAACACATTGTCAATTCAAGATGGATTCGGAGTGGAGAAATTCGGGTCCATAGGTCTGGAGCCTACTTCTTGTTTGAATGTAGGAATGATCAGGATCTAGAAAGCTTGATTTGAGTAAATACAACCATTATTGATGGAAGAATCATAAATTTTAGAAGGTATCAAAGGGATTTCGTACCTCACCAAATGAATTTCACATTGACGAGAATTAGGGTGAGGGTGTATGGGCTACCACTAGCCTACCTCACTACGGGGTGGGTGAGACAGATCTTTACCATGTTGGGTACGTAGAAGAAATAGACCATACAGGGGACTATCTACCGCTACACGCAGAGCTTAGGGCTTGTGTGATGATGGATCTTTCAATCCCTCTAATTCTAGGGTACTCCATACCACTGGAAGGGAATAGGGTGATTTGGGTGTATTTGAGATACGAGGGTATCTTTAGGTTTTTCAAATTGTGTGGGTGTGTAGGGCATGATACATGCTCGTTATTTACTCCACCCAAGGACAGCAAGAAGAAGGGTGAGGCGCAGACTCGACCAAGTAGAAGCTGATGGAATTCGGGTGTTGTATGGCCCTGCTGAATACCTATTTTATTCTAATTATAT